TTTTTTTTTTTTTTTAAAGTTGTGAGAGAGGATGAGAGGATTAGAATTTGTTGGTGTACTAATGATCCCCAAACTTCCATTTTCATTGTCTTTCCATCCTCCTGGAATCTTTCTGTTGTGCCTGAACTGGTAAGGACAGACAGCCCCATTCATCATAAAATTCTGCTAATGGGGTTAGGGCTTTCTGATCTGTGTGTGATGCAGTAAGATAGGCAATTCACATCCCATTCACAATTTTGGCCGCCTTTTTATAAGGTTATGTAATGGTGATATTACTATTTTTAAAGAGGAGTGGGGAACACAGGTTCTTACAAGGTGCCGAGTGACTAAATAGCTGGATCTTATTTTTCACAGCACTTTTGAATTCATATGACAACTGGTAAAAGCTTTAACCTCTTTTGAACTCAATTTCTTTGACTATATTTTTATGATTATAATTATTATGTTGATCTCTTTCAACCAACTCAGATGAGAGAAATTCCTTCTATATCAGAATGAGCTTTTCCATTACTATAGGGACTTTGGAGAATTTTTAAGATGTAGTAGAAAGGTTCTAGACTGGCAAATTATATAAAAAAATGTATATTAAAAAATAAATTAAAATACCCGGAGTGTGTCATTCACTAGAGGAATTTTGCTGATCTCGGCACCACTCTGGAATGAGTATCAAATCTAAACCATCTTATTTTTATGCAAACTTATGTCTTATCACCCTAGATGATAGCCGGGAACACATTCTTTCCATTTCCCCAAACCAGATGAGAAAACAAAATTTCAGCACCCAAGGCAAAACACGAATTGTCATTTCAAACACTGAAAACTCGAACCACTCACTCGTTTGCAGTGACAGATCAATTATTATGAGCTCTTGATTTATTTGCCTGATCGGTTTCTGCTAATCGTAATTTCCTTCCGAATCATTCAGATGTACATGAAGGATGACGCGCTGACCACTCTTGGTGTGTCCACCCTTCTTTGGCGTGGCCCCGGGCCTGCCTCACTTCACACCCACCGATTTAGAAACTGCAAACAAGGATGGCCTTTGATACTGCTCATGACCTCTGCAGCATCCGCGGGGCACGCTGCACAAGGCTGGTGCTCAGCTGACATCTGTCCTTTCAGCCTGACCTCTGAAGAGCAGCCCTCGACGACACACGGGCACAGACCACCCTCCGCCACCCTCCCCGCCTTACCTGGTCTCTCTGTCTTTGGGTATCGTAGCGGTGCTGTAGGCAAACATTTGCTTCTCCACTAGAGGAGGGCCGAGGTCCACAATGCCGGATAATCCTGGAGTGGTCCGTGGCTTTTCGATATACACCAAGGTGCCCGGCTCCTTTTTGAAGGCCTGGCGGCTGGGCGACACCCGGTCTGGCGGCACGGCGTGCGGGGGCCCGTGCGCGTTGTGGAGAGCGTGCGTGTCCAACATTCTCATGTCACTGATCCGGTGCGGGGAGGCGGGCGGCGTTTTGGCGCCCAGAGTGGGCAAGTGGCTATCGGGGTACTTCCTTGATTTCTGCCTGTACAGTGACTGCTCCATATGCATTTCCGCTTGCAAAGCAGGGTTGCAGTAAGCGCTCGCGGACCGAATCGCGGTGCGGTGGTATGCGATGATGTGATCAGGGACATCCAGGGGGTGCCCACCATGGGAAGACGCTATGCTCGTCCGTCCCTCGTGATACAGGTAAGGATCGGCATAGAAGCCCTCATTTCGGTACATCGCAATGTTCTTGCCGCTCATGTCTTCATCTGGCTTTACATCTCTTCTTTCCAAAATGGCGCTTGGGCTGGGTGAGATGGATCTGGAGACTGGCAGGCTGGAGAGTCTGTCCCTGGGGATGGTGGCATTGCCAGGGACGACCATTGGGCGGGTGCCCACATAAGGAATTCTGGATGGGGAGGGAGGCATGGAATGGGGCACGGGAGTGGATGGTGGAGAATTTGGAATGGCGTGGGGTGGATGCGCTGTAGATCCAGGTCGAGAGGCACCGGGGCCATCTCCTCTTGCATAAACAATTTCTCTCTGCATCTGAAAATAAAACATGAAATTAGAAAATCTATTTTGATAGTCACGTTTTCAGAGAAGTCTCAGTGTGACAGTACAGCTTCCCTGATGTGGTAGGCTAAAGAATGGCCCTGCAAGGTGTCCACACCTTAATCCCCAGAATCTGTAACTATGTTTCTCTGATGGCAAATGAGACTTTGCAGATGTCCCCTTTTAAAGATGTTGAGATGGGGAGATAATCATGGATTACCCAGTGGGCTCAACGCCATCACGAGGATCCTTTTATGTGAAAGACGGCGTTAGGATTTTTTTTAGATGTGATGAGAGAAGCAGGGTCAGAGAGAGAGACTGGAAGATGCTACACCACTGATTCGGCAGACGCAGAGGAGGCCATGAATTAAGGAATGCAGTCAGCATCTAGAAGCTGGAAAAGACGAGGAAGTGGATTCTTCCTTCAAGCCTCAGAAGGAGGCGGCTCTGCCAACACCTCGATGTTGGCCTGTGAAACTTTTCTGGATTCTGATCTCCACAGTGTAAGATAACGCATTTGTGGTGTTTTAAGCCACTAAGATTGTGGTAATTTGTCACAGCAGCCACAGGAAACAAATGTACCTGATGTTGAACTCAACGTTGTGAGTTTGAAGAAAAAAACAGTGAAGTGGTTTAAATTTTGAGGTTATTGGTTCTTAGAGGTGCTTAATAAATGTGGGTCTAAGGTATTACAAGGACTAGAATTAAGTTTTCTAAAACTTGTCCCGGGCACATTTTCTGTTATTAGCCCTGGAAAATAATAAGCATTTTCCCCATCTTTCTAAGCTGGTATAACAGGGGCATGACCAGAGAGAAAGGAAGTGTATAGGTAAAACTTAAGGGAAAACCTCACTGATTCACTATCTTATTAATGAGGCTATGAGAAACCGGCTCTGAGAGGCTGGGCAAAAATAATTATCCAGGAGACAAAACCTGTAGTGGGGACGGCAAGGGAGAGAAGAGGGAAGAGAGAACCCCAAGCACGATGGGGAGAAAGAATCCTAACAGTACTTCCCCTGGGCTGCCATGTGATGACAAGGAGCCTGCTGGCGTTGGCCATCATAGGTCTGGTACTTCTTACCCAGGCAGCAGTGACTTCTGGGCTGTGTTTAGAGGAGTGGGGACTCCCACAGGGTCTTCTATTATCTTTCTTTTAGAACAAGGGTCCCCAACCTCCGGGCCATGGACCAGTACCGATACCAGTCCATGACCTGTTAGAAACCGGGACGCACAGGTGAGTGGTGGGCCAGGGAGCAAAGTTTCATCTGTATTTGCAGCCGCTCCCCAGCACTAGCATCACCGCCTCAGCTCCACCTCAGATCACCAGGCATTAGATTCTCATAGGAGCACCGGTCCCTGGTACCAAAAAGGTTGGAGACCACTGCTTTAGAAGAAACAATGACTAAGAATCAATGACTTGAGAATCATAGATACAGAGAGCAGGTTGGTACTTGCCAGAGGCAGGAGGTGGGCAGTGGGTAAATATGGTCGAAAGATCTAAACTTGCAGTTATAATAATAAATAAAACTAAGTCATGGGGGTGTAATGTACAGCATGGTGACTATAGTTGATAATACTGTATTTAATATTTAAAAGTTGCTAAGACAGTAGATTTTAAAAGTTCTCATCACAAGACAGAAAAATTGTAACTGTGTGGTGATGGATGCTAACTAGACGTACTGTGGTGATCATTTTGCAGTATTCGCATATATGGAATCATTATGTCCATCTGAAACTAATATAAAATTATATGCCATTTATATCTCAATAAAAAAGGAAACAAGTTAATGGGGAAAAGGGAAACTACTTTGCAATAACACAGCAGTATTTAGCACGAGGCAGAATTAAAAATACAAATTAATTCAGGATATGGATTTATGATACTTTTTGTTTTGGTCAAAACCCAGGAGGCTGACATTCTCCGAACGAGTGAGAGAAGGGACAGACAGCTCTGGCACCTCCCTAGCCCGCCCTTCAAGTTCCCTCCATGCTGTCACAGGAGCCCACATTCCCATCCACTCTTTGGGGAGATGTGACAGACAAAGAGTGCCAAGCAGCTGGGGGGCGGGTGAGGTGGAGGATGAGGAGAGACGGGGTGGGCTCCCCATGGACAAGAACCGAGACGAGCAGATGAGAGACCCGTGGTGTGGGTGATGGGGGAAGAGAAGAAAGAGCAGAGGAGCCAGCAGAATGTTGAAAATGAAAGTGCCCAACGCCATGAATACATACCAATTCCTTATCTTATAAATTCATCCATTTAGTAAATATTTACCAAGACCTTGTTAAGGACCGGGCATTATTCTAGGATATGGCTCTAATAAGCTCTCAATTCCCATCCGAGAGAGGGTACTACCTGTGTACATCTCTTAGATGGAGCGACCACAAGGAGCCCTTTGAGGGTACCTGATGTGAACACCATTCAACTGGTTCCTCTGCCCCCGTAGGGGTCCGGCTGTTTCTGGGAACCGCGAAGCACACAAGTTCCTCACTCACAATTACAACTTTATCTCCACCATTCTCCCCCCGCCCAACACACACACACACTTCAACCACAGTAGGCTGGTCTGTCCTCCCCCTCTAAACAGAACTTGGGGTATCCTCACGCTTTCGTCACCCCGGGGATTTTCTCCCCATTTCCCAGGCCTTGTGGATCGAAACTGAGGCCGAGGCTCAAGGCTGGGCTCCACATGCATCTGCTCCACATGGTCCGACCAGTCCTTTCTCTGCTTGCTCACTCATGAATCAGGTGCTCAGGGCCTTAGACAAGGAGGGCAGTCCCAAGGTATGAGATTATCATTGTGCGATAACATATCCGATTCTCATTCCAGAATGGATGGAACAGCCATGTGACAGAAATACTGCAGCAGATCAACACGGGTTCTGTGTACATACCTCTCCCACACTATCTTCCACAAGGCAGGGCTCAGTGCAAAGAAAAGTCTGGCTCACTGGAGCAAAGCAGGCTTCACGGGTCATAAAATACAAGAGGGACTTGCTCAGCCAGCAGGGCGTATCTGGACAAATTCTCCACACAGTCAGACCCAGAATGCAATAATCAACCCAAATGAATGTAAATATAAATTTAACATATTGATTCAAACAAGCCACTGTGTATAAAGCATAGCACAGTGATCAAGATGAATCAGGTGTAATAAAGGGTGGGTACTATTGTTATTATTATTAATTACAACTTAAAGGCGGGTGGTCAAATGTCTAGAACCCACTTAGGATGAACAATAATCCTAACTGGGTCAGTCACTACTTCCTGTTCTTTTCCCTCCTTATCTGGCTTCAAATTACATTGTGATTTAGGGGAGCCTGACCTCAATTAAAACACAGCAAACACTGCCCCCTGCCCCGTTTCCTGGCAAGAAAGTAAAAAGAAACATCAAGATTCTGAGGAGTACAGAACTGTCTAGAAGGATAAAGAATATAAATAAAATAAAGATGTAAAATTAATTTTAATTCATGAAAAGTTCAGTAAATTTATTTTTAAATAACAAGGTCGCCCATAGGTATTTTATTTTACTTATTTTTTTTTTCTGCATAGTTATTTTTAAAACAGTTTGATGATGTGAGAAAAAAATGGTTAGGCGGAATATTATATAACTAACTTTTAAATTTAAATATGCAAAAAATTTCACTGGAAAAGTCTCATAGACTTTCTTGATGTCATGTATAGGTGAATTCAGAAAGAAATGTAACAATTAATCAACGATAATTCTGATATGCTATGTATTCATGGGGGGTGGGGAATGTGGGTGATTAGTCAAAATATATAACACCCAGTAGCCAGAATTGCATGGGTACCAATCAACCAGAATGGGACCTCAGCCAACAAAGATGGATCCTGGCTATAAGCTATCAGCATCATGTAACTGAAGGTAATGTCATGTATCACCCCTGCCTTGTCCACTTCAAAATAATCTTGCCATCATCCAACAGGGTCACCGAAAGAATCACTGTCCACCTGAGTTATCCACAGTGGAGGTTAATACAAGCATTCAGCTATGACAGAACAGATAATCTAAGGTTGAATGTCTTCATCGGTACAGTGACTTAGCGTTGGAAGCCTTCGGTGGAATTCTTATGTTGGTTTGCCAAGCTATGACTGACTTTCCAAGACTGAGTTCTAAAAAGAACCCTGATAATTTCGTACTTGGCTCTACATAGAGCCCAAGGAGAGAATGACACGTTGTTCTCCTTGTGTAGTAGGAAAATGTTTCAAACCTGCAACTAGAATGAACCCTTAAAATCAGACAACTTGGATGAACAAGAAAGGATGTGGATTGACCACAAAGACCACTCACTCTTAGGATAAGGCGAAAAGTATGGGTGGGAGATGAGAAGAGAGAATCTTTTTCAAGTCTTCAGCGCGATCTCCCATGGAGACTATTTGCTATTCTAATAAAAAGTGAACTTTATACACTCCAGGAGATACTCACTGTCTGACTAACTGAACCAGGATGATGAGTAAGAGTCTATAATTCAAAGTTTTAAATAATCCCAGCCTTTTAAGCTAGTGTTCCTTCTATGGAGATATCTTCCTAGAATCAGGCACCTACAGTTTTGTTTTTTTAGCTAGTGAATAAAGAAATGGCATTAAATATACACTGTTATTTTTTTTTCTGTACTGGTGCTCAAAGTCAGATGTTTTAGGAGAAGACTACATTCAACTTTAAAGGTAAAATAAATAAGCAACACACACGCACAGCTGCTATTCACCTTAATATAACCAAATCCCTTATTTTCCCTCCAGTCTCTTCTGACTCCACTAAACTTCTCCATCATCTCGCTTCCCTCAGTAAGTTATATGTATCTGGCTATATTATATCATTGACACGTTTGCGCCGGAAAATTTCAACAGTAATGTCTTTATGGGAGTTTTAAAGAATTTCACTTGATATCAAAAAAGAGATGACCTGACCACAGAAGTAAAGGTTCTTTTAACGCCTTCTCAGAAAACAGCTCAGGTATTTCTTTGTCTGTACCGCAGCCCAGACAAAGAAAACGTCCATTTCTCTGCATCCGATACACGGGCGATGTGTGAACGAGACTGTTCTCCATGGCTCATCTCCTGTGTTGGGCATCGTTTCTCCCTCTTCCCACCGCTGCCCAAACCACTGCTGTCTCTGGGTTGAGTCCCTCCAATTCCTGTAAACAGCATAGTTTCTTCCAGAGCCCAGAACCACGACCCCGGCTGAGGTTGCTGTCTCTGCCCGCAGCTCACAGCTCAATAAGCTGGTTGGCCCAAACTTCCTACAGACCAGAAAAAAATCTGGGGCAGTTTCTAATGAATTGTCTAAAGTATAAGTTAGAAATTCTAACATACATCTATGTTTTATTTCCCTCAAACATTAAGTTAAATGAAATATTACTCATTGAGGAGTTTCTTGAATGTAGGGGGGTGGGGTGAGAAATCTTCAAATTGTTTCTGGAAGAAGGTCTAGCATGAAAATGTTAATTTCAAACCATTTTGGGAAACTGTCTCATGTAATCATGTCTCTTTGTGGAGTATTTAAAAAATATAGGTTCTTTGCAGAAAGGGAATATTATGTACTGTTTATTGTATTTCAAACCCCACCCTTCCAAGTCTAGAATTTGTAAACATCCCACTCAATCTGACCACACAATGAAGTAACTGGACAAAACTGAAAAGGGTTTTTACGAGATTCTTTCACCCTCCAAGAATTAAAGCCACTTACTTTTCCTTAAGGAGATCACCTGTACAACTAACGCCGTGAGAAAGCACATTGGCTCAGCTCCCGATTACGCGATTCCTTTGTTTGCTGGCTTCATCTAAATAAATCCACAGTTCCACTTGGATATTTCAGACAGCTTTCTCTTCAGAGAAGAGGTCACAGAGGACACAGATCCTGAGATGTTCCCCAGGTCGAGTGTTCACAGCAAAGACCATTTCGTCCTGCTCAGTCCTCTGAGCGAAGCTGCCACGGGCATGGATAAAAAGTCGTCCTCCCTATGATAAGCCAATTTCTCCTCCCCTTGGAAATTAGTCACTGAATAACAGCCCACATCCAACCAGAGGCTACCGCATGGGTGACTCAGTCCTTTAACAATTGCTTACACGGAAAACACACACCAACGAATGAACTCTGAGAGGCCTGGGTAAATGGCTTAACGATGAAGGAAATATTACAAAATTGATTTACCAAGGCAAACGGGATTATTATAACTAGCAAAAGACCAGCCGCCAACAACGGAAGCCATCAGAACATCCTACATGCCAATTACCCCCAGGACTGACTCTTAGATTTTTGGGGGGTGTTCTGTGGAGGAAGGGTGCTGCTAGGAAAACCCAGACAGACCAGCACCCCACACCCATTCTGCTGCCAGACTTTTGAAGTCTGTGGATTGGCAACTGAAGGAAACGTGAGCCTCTTCCCCTGGTTTATAACACCCACGAGGGAGGAGGCTGTCTGTCTATTCATTAACCAGCCTGGTTTTACCAAGCTGAACTTTGGGTAGCAGCCATTAATCGATCCTATGCGATGCCAGGCGAGAAACTGCCATCACTCTGGAAAACATATCTGAAAAAAGAGGGAAGGATAGAGAGGGCCAGCTAGTGCTCAGGCGGAAGGAAGGGGAACTGAGAAAGGAAACCAGAGCCTCTCCGCCCCGCCTTCAATGAGACAGGAGCAGAAGGCCAGCCCAGTCCTCAGAGACCCCCGCGGGCATCGGCTGCCAAGGCAGCTGTTCTCTTCCAGGTGAACAGGCACAAGGTGGTGTGTGTTCCCAACAAGAAGTGGCTTGTGTGGCGCTCAGTGGAAGACAGGTATTAACGTACTGCTAACAAAAGGTGAGGGAGAAGGAAAGCATTTCCTCAGCTCGTCATGCTTTCTGAACCCTCAGGGACTGAGATGAACAGACACTTATCCAAGTGGGAACCCGGTGAAAAGTCACTCAAAATGCTGGGCTGGAAGCCTCGCCGGCCTCAGGCCACACCCCGTGACCACGCTCTGGGCAGCCTGCACATTTTTCAAACATTTGAAGGTTTTTAGAGGTTGTTCTTGCTGACCAGAAGAATGCCGTGACGTCTCTCAAGTTCAGTTTCAGTCAGCATTGCAGGCTTTTCTCAAAAAACTGTTTACTGCCATCAAGACATTTTGTGGTTATTAAAGGAGGGAGGATAAGGAGCACATGACACCTCCACCCTCCTAAGATGTCTCATTAGAAACAATAGTTGGATGAAGCGGTTGTAACAGATGCCACCTAAGAGGTCGGAAAAGAGAAGAAGGAATGTGAAAGCCCCTGTTTTGATTTTTAATCTAATCAGAAGGAGTTTGTTATTTCTCGCCCGAGTACGGGAAGCACAGGTTATCAGCCCTGGACGCATCTAGGATACATCTGAACCTGCTTCTTCTGTCAGACATGTGCTTTCCAGGCAGAGGAGAGGCAGGGGCTGGTCTCCCTTGTCTCATTAAGCCGCCATTCCGCCCTTCCCATTCCCCCAAAGCCCCCGTTTTATGGCACGAGACACCCAAACCCTGATCAGGGCCCTTGGACTCATTACCCGCTGTTTATACGTGCACGACTGCTCGTAAGAGCAAACGAATGCGAAGGTCTGGGTTACGGCCCCCTCCCCAGGAGACAGAAGCACTTGGCTCTCACCGCTGTCTGCCTGAGTGAATCATGCCACGCTCAACGCATTAGTCCATGTCGGCTATTCTAGAGACAGGTGTCTTCTGTGGACCTTGTAACCTCCTAAGTCAGTGGATGCAAGGTGAGGGAAGGTCTGGTTTACCTCTCCCATCTCTTCCTTCCTGTCGAGTGCAGAGCAACTTCTTCTCACTTTCAAAATGCTTCGGGACACCGACAATGTAATGAGTACACGCATGGCTCCGTCATCAGCAGAGCAGTAACTCACTGTCAAAATTCTGAAAGCTGGCCCAGCCCTGCGGTGAATCAGGATGAGTTAAATGCTCTCCAGTATGAAGCACACAGCTCACCTGAGAGAGAGGAGTTCAGTACCTCCAGTGTGTGCTGCCTGAGGAGCCAGGCAAGCTGGTTTCCCAGACAATATCTTGGTGTCACATGGGACTCGGCTCCCCGTGAGTGGCTCGTGCTCTCCTGAGAAGGGCTCTTTTAGTTGAGGTCACCACAACCCAATCACCAACACTCTGGTTTCCTTACTTCAACAGACCCTCTTCGGCCTGGCCATCTTGGGATGTTTTGGCCTCTGTGAATCTGCTCTTCCCAGAAGTGTACAGTATCTTACTCTTCATTCTCTCTTTCTTTCACTTACTGTCACTTTAGCAAAATGGAAGCAATGTATTTCTTTTGAGTTACTGTTAAGAAAGGACATGCTAGTAAATAGTCAGCGTGACCTCAACAGGAAATAATTTTTATGCTCTGGTCAGGCTAAGAATCTTGAAAAATTTATTCCTGTTTCCTCCTTTCTTATTCATTTCTTTACTGGCTTAAAAAATTACGTAGGCTGAAAGAAAATCTGAAATGTGCTTATAAACATGAAGGTGCTATTGTGAAGGGAAGTGACTGTGATGCTAAATTTCAATTTCATCTTGCTTCCATTGTTAAAATGGGAAAGACGATCGTTTGTGAGGTCTTAGCACTAAACCTATTCATATTTTATTGGATCATAAATGAAATGTCTCCCAGATATGAGACAGATCGTTGCCAAAATTATTTAATTTTCAGGGAAGAGATGGTCCAGTCAGTGGTTAGCTTATGGCTATATTTAAGTGTTATTTCCACAAATGTTCAACATGGAGAACTCCACTGAGCCCACCAGCACCAGACGAGGCTGACTCAGGATTGTGCCCAACGGTGGCGAAAGAACTCAGTCTGGAACAGGGTGAAGAATACATCATTTAACTTCCAAGGCACAATCAGTAACTGTGTAGAGCTGCAGGACAGATAAAAGAAAAAATATTCTTCTCTTACTGATACTTGATCTTCTGTCGGGATACTCCTATATTATCCAGGCCAAGGACAAGCTCCTTTTGTCCCTAATAGAGTTACAGTTCATAAAGCGATATCTGCTTTCTACCACTTGCAACAAATGGTGCAAATAACTCCTACTCATTCCTTTTCTCCATCTCTGCCCATCCGCCCGTTCCCTGGACCGACACTGTTCTTTTATATGGGATTCCTTTTGGCATTCCTAGATTTGTTGCTAGGACTAAGTCATCTTTGTCACCCAGGTATAACTTTTTCGTGCCTTAGACTTTATTTTTCATTTTATGGCAGTTCTCTAAACTCCTATGTAACTTGTCAACATATATATTGCAATATGTAATATATTATAACATTTCCTATTTTACAAAGGAATATAGGTGGCCACACACACACACACACACACACACACACACATCCCTAGCCATTTGCAGTTCACAGTTGTCAGTTGTGATTCAATTTTAAGGACCTTAGAAACACACAAGTCAGGTATTACCATCCCTATCTGAATGGGCAGGAAACGGAAGTAAGAGGAGCTGAGCACCTGACCAGCTTCGCATGGCTACTAAGCAGTGAAGCAGCAAGGATGCCCGTCCTCAGCCCGACCACTGGGTCACTGCTTCTCTTGCTGTAAGTGTGAAGTCCCATGTTCTCCGGGACACTGAAAGCTGCTCTGGGAGGCATCATGCTCCCAAGGCCTTCTCTCCCGAGATTATTGGTGGTTCATTTGCTTGAGTTTTGACCTTCTGTGTGCAACATGGCGAACTCTGAGCAATACCTCATTTGCTTCACTCACAGGATCAGATTTTTACAGCTAAGGAAAGAATAACCGGGACATACCAGTGAGTTTAGGATTAGGATCTAAGTACCCAGGAACTCTCTTGACTTACTAGTAGGTTATATCTTCTTGCCTCAAAATTGGTTAAGTAATTAATTATATGTTCTATTTAACTAATATACCTATTAGTATATATTATGCTTATATATTATACTTACATATATGTTTGTATCGCTAATTATCACTATATAGATATCATTATATCACTAGTTACATACATGTAAGTATGTATACATGCATACACACATATATGTATATACATACAGAGAAACTTTCATTAGTCACAGATACCAGATTACTTATGGGATAAAATATCTGGACTTATCTGATGAATACTCCTTATCATTATGAGCCCAAACTGGCTACTGGGTGATGTTCTTGGAACCACATCTCTCAATTACTATCTGAATTACTGACAGAGACATTACATCTCTGCCACTGTGTCCTATATCCCTCTCATCATTCAATAGGGAAACTGATCAAATTGATTATGTTGTAAGTGAAAAAAGTTGATACAACATTATATAGCTTTAGAATAATCACAACAACGTAAGAATGAAAATGTATGTATCAGTTTGATAACATAACATATCCTCAACATATCTACTAAACTTAAACACCGAATCGATGAGCTACACAGAAGTTTAGCGCTCTGTAGTGGCAGCTTAAAGGGATAGATATTTTTCACAGACGATTGGAGAAAATGGTGGTAAACAAATTGATGAACAGTAGACGCTAAGTTGGAAAACAAATGATCTTTTATTCTTGGTCTGTCACTGTGTTCTCACAATGTAGCTACTCAAATCTCAAGACTTCCGTTGGCTCCTCTCGTCAAGCTCCTTCTCATGCTTCGAAGGGTCTCAGCTTCTTAACCCCAAGTGTCCCTGGTCGGTTTAACCCCTGCAGACCGGTGTCCTGTCTTCCCTGAACGTCTCCTCCTTCTTGCCTCACAACTATTCTGGAACTGACTCTGTGGACCTGGGTTACAACAGTGGCCTTTTGCTGGAATCACCCCACTGCCTGCATTCTGCTCTGTGTTTATATTGATCAGAGGAGGCTCTGTGCTGGCTCCATGACCAAGTGATAGAACAAACACACAACACGCGGGGCGTTACGTCAGCAGAGCCGATAGCAAAGGGAATTTCATGGATGAATTCGGATGCAAGGTTTTTTAGTTGTGCCATTATTTTGATCCTTAGCTGAACAATATTAGCTAATGTGTCAAAAAAAAAAAAGGGTTGAATGAGGGAAGAGCCCCAGAGGATAACACTGAAGGACAATAATTTAAAAAATCCACCAAGTTCAATTTTTCCTCAAAATAAACATGAAAAACAATGCCGGAAATCCAGATCAAAGCAGCCCTCGTGCCACCTCTTCCTGGGTTCAGAAGAGCCACTCGCTTTCCTTTTAACAACAACTTTCCAAGCCAAAAGGAGTTCCACGCACTGGGAAAAGTTCTCTCGTATAAGGCTGGGAATAGATGTCATTCGTGGTATAATTATACAGGCTCATTAACTTTCTCAGTTCTCGTTAGCGATGAAAGAGTCTCAAAAATTCCAAGTTTATAAATTAAATGACTATAACTTTGAAAACCCATCTGTTTTCCTTGGGCTTGGCTGGAGTCGATGGTGGAGAACACAAGTGTCCCTGATGGTTTGGACTTGACCGGTGGCCTGGAATGCCCTCACTCAGGATGTCTCTTTGCAGTCAATGCAGCATGGGGAAGTGGGAAGAAGGCTAACCAGGGAGTCACGGAACCTGCAATTGGTCCAGGTTTTTAACTATCAGTAAGAAGTCTGATCTAGATCGTCTCTAAGGCCAATTCCAACTATAACATTTCTGTGGGTCTACGAAATATTTATCGAGTAGCCACTCTGTATGTAAAGCCCAGGGTAAAGGCTGATGAGGGCAGAAGGATGTGTAAGATATAATTCCTACCTCTGAAGAGCTTACATTCCAGTAGGAAAAATGAATATTCAAAATAAGACAAAGCAAGAATAACTTTGGCAAGCATCTAATGAGTGCAGTAGACTAATACTCTTGTGCAATAGACTAAAAGAGTAAGACTCTTCTGGCTGGGATAGTTAAGGAACACGTTTCTGAAGAAGTGAGATTTTTAGTGAGTCCATAAATTAGGACCAG